TCGTTTAATGCTTAGATATATAATTTCCAAATCACACATCTTAAGGAACCAGTCCAAGTTTTATCGTCTAGGGGGGAAGGGGGGAAGGTCGGAGGTTTATAGTTGTGCCAAAATAAATTTTTTTCGGGCTCTTTAGTATTTTAACTTTCTCCCTTATTCTTGGTTTTCACCCAAGTTACTTTTGTCTTGACGGAGGTTGCTATGCGCTATGTTGGTGCTCAAGCAAATAGTTACAAATGCGCTTGTAGTTAGGTGAAAGTGAAAAAGTAGAAATGATTCTTTGTGTAGTTTTCGGATGTGGCACCAGAACTGATCAGGACAAAAGAATTGGATTTTATCGAATACCATCAGTTGTTTAAAGTTAGTCTTCCTTCGAAGAAGAATTGAAAACAGAGAGGAGAGAGAACTGGATGCAATCGATAAGTCGCGGCGACACGATATAAGAAAAAAGGTAAAGACAGACCGGCACGGACTCCCTTGGTGGCTTTCGAGGTTGCGTCGCATTATCTCCTTCAAATTATATTTTTGCTCTAACAAGCATGTCTTAAAGGAATTTCCCTTTGGTAAGAGATGATCGGAGGTTTTGTAAAATTTGTTTACAGCAAGGGCTTATTGTGTATCAGACTCAAATGCTCCATCAATATTTGTTTTAAATTTTTAACTGCCGGGTGGTACGTTATGACAAAAGGCAATAAACGTTCGTGACCTTTCGGCTTTTGTGTATGTTTAAGGGCCGATTGTCAAGAGGCAAAGTTGATACCTGACAGAGATCTTTCTATAATGTTTTCTGGGTACCCTCTTGCTTTGAGGCTTTGTTTGAATTTCAAAAGGCCCTCTTCAAATGTTTTTTTCGAAGAGGTAGTTCTCAGCAATCTTATTGCTTCGCCTTTAATGAAATCATGTTTTACGCCTGGTGGGTGGCACGAGGCGAAGTACGTAAATTGGGATTAAGGTCTCGGCCGGCTTGTAATGGGTTTTTATGTCCAAGATGGAATCTTTTTAGCAAATCTTCCCCCTTTAAACACTGTGGTATCGAGAAAAGTGATTTGGTTCTCTGATATTTCGGCCGTGAATTTGATAGTATGGTCGAAATAGTTGGCTCGTTTAATAAACCGATCCAGCACTTTTCTGTCACAATCCATAAGGAAGAAAATGTCATCGATGTAACGTTTCCATTCTCTTGGCTTGATTTTACCTTGTTGAATTAATTTCGTTTCAATTTCCGCCATGAAAATATTGGCAAATGACACTGCCATTTTCTTACCCTTAGTGGTTCCAGGCGTTTAGAGGAAGTTCTCCTCATTGAATTACAACGAATTTTCTTTAAGGATTAAACCAAGCATTTCCCCTAAGTAGTGCGTTCGGATCGTGCGTTATGATTGTGGAAAATTCCCTATGTTTCACATACTATATTCGCTCCTTCTTCTTGACGTATATTTGTGTATCCCTTTCTGCGATAATCCAAATGCCTTCAAGGGGATCGTTCATCCGCTGCGAATGTCTCACCTTCGCTAAAACAACAATCTTGTTTACAATCTCTGCTCCTTGAACT